CACTCTTCTAAAATGTTTTTGTCATTCATAAAATTCGGTATTTCATATGTTGTCAGCCGTAATAAAAACGGCGTAAACAATGAAACGGTTATTATGCATGAATACAGGGAGAAAGTCTGTCAGAAGACTGACAACTGCTGACATTTCGACAGTCAGTTTCACGATCCTCCTGCCTTTTGTTTTTATATTCGTTGTGATGTAGCTGAAGCGTTTTGAGCTGCAGGCCTTGTACTTAGATCGTAAACAGCAAGATGAAATGATTTCATGAACTTTCTTTCAGAATTACTGTGTCAGAGGTCTTAGGTTCTTCCATCTAGTTTATAGTTAAAGCTACTGTTTGTTTCTGCAGGATGAATTTAATCTGAGGGCATAACGTCTGTCAAACATTGATTGGCATATCGCGGTTTTAAGATTAGTGAAAATCTTCAGAACTAAACAAAATACGCTACTTCATCCTTGGGTCGTTGCTTGTCCTTTTCAACTGGCGCGCTGAACATAAATTTTGGCAGCAACATATTATTACGGGCACGTATGAATTTCGAACAAACGTGTTTTTGAGATGTTAGAGATAGCGCCTCTGCTGTAGTCTTAGCACGAATTCCTTATAAATCGACTGATTAGCACAGATACAAACCGTAAAAATGTACGGTACTATTTCCTTAGGTACGTTCAGATAATTCAGGATTGTAAAACATCGATATTATCTGAAATTATCATGTATGAGAGGCCAAGAAAATGAATGGTCTGTTGTGTTTATGGCTGTTTTCCAGCCCTCAACTGTGTTTTCGAATTTCTCATATAGAGATGGGTTATTTGTGTGTTTTATCATTTCGGTATTCTTTCATATCAGTTGATCGAATATGCAGTCTCGAAAGTTTTTTCTACCTTAATTCATATCTGAAGTCATGTTTTCAGGCTATGCTTCATAATGTACTATTTTAAAGGCATATTACAAATTCCGTAACGAGCACGTTGAGAAACTGAAGGCATTCTCGGCTCTCCAGAAAGAGCTTGAAGAAAAAGAGGCTACTAACGTTGCACTCCAGTCAGAAATGGAGGTAACGCAGAAAATTAAGGATTTTTCGCTTCTAAAATGTACTTAGAAATCCGAAGGTAGTTTGGCCGGACTTCAGTCAGAATTCGCGGCTAAAACTGCTGCCTACGCGGATTTGCAGACGTCGCTCTCGGTTAGCAGTGATCAGTCGTCGCATTCGTTTAATGTTGATCTTGTTTAGCAACTGAGGAAGGAATACGAAGATCTGCAACGAGACCATTCGCAGTTAAATGCGGATTATCAACAATTGACCATGGTAAAAGACGCCAATACTGAAGCCCTTGCCAAATCTGAAGCAAAAGTCGCATCAATTTCCACCGATCTTTCTGAGGCGCAAACCCAGCTCCAAGTGATTTTCTTTTTTTCTGTTGAAAGCAGCATTTTCATAAAGTTATTTCATCGCCGTGTCCATTTAAGATTTAAAACAAAGCTATTCACATTAACTGAATATATTGTATTATTCAAATGTTAGACTGCATCGTAGTATTTACAGTCTGTAAA